AGACTGTTTCAACGAGGTCATGGACAGAGAGGTGGAGGAATAGGGGGATTTTTGGCAAGTTTGGCCCGAAAAGCCATACCCTTCGTGACAAAGGCAACGAGACACATTGGCAATCTAGCGCTTCGTACCGGTGCTCACGTTTTAGCCGATACAGCAATGGGAAACTCGCTACAGGATTCCCTTCGAAACCGATTGAAGGAATCTGGAGAAGAGCTGAAGCGCGACGTCACCAACAAAGTAAAACGTATGGTGAATACTCAAACAGGGTCAGGAAGAAAGCGCGAAAATCCAAAACAAGGAAGTCGAGGGAGATCGCCGAAGAGAAGAAAGCAGTCGGGTCGGTCGCAAGCTATAAAACGCAAAAAATCCTCGAAACGAGTCAGATCCTCGAAAACAGCCAAGCGGAGAACATTTCAGGATATATTCGGATAAGCTTAATAGCAAAATGGCCTTGATTCATTCACGGACAGACGAATGTGCGCTTGAGGAACTGGAACTCTTTTCTGTTGCTCCGACACAGACCAGCGTAGTCAAAAAGTCTGACATTGAATATCAACCTCATCACTCTCAAACTCTTCACCAGTGGAATTCAACGTCCCTGGAAATGAAGATTACATCCACCTACCTTACACACAGCTCTATGTCTCAGGAAAAATCAAACACAAGGACGGAACCGCCCTGGAAGCTGATGAGAAAGTATCCATGGTGAATAACGGTCTTCACAGCTTGTGGAAGCAGATTGATGTTTTTTTTGGCTCGACGCAAGTATCCAGCGCCACCAACACCTACAGCACAGAAAGCTATTGCAAAACGGTATTGAACTTTTGAATGAGTGGCAAAAACTCGCAATTCCAATCTGCAATGTGGTACGGCGATACCGCGGGACATTTTGAAGATGCTAATGTTGGTGCTGGGGGAAAGAATAAGGGATTTAAAGATCGGAACTCCCTAATAAAAGAATCCCAAGAATTTGAAATGATGGGGCCTCTGCTGTGTGATGTCTTTATGATTGAAAAATATCTCTTGAGCTTTGTTGATCTAAGGATTCGACTGGTGCCTAATCCGCCAGAATATTTCATCATCTCAGGCGAGGCCGGAAAAGAGTACCAAATAGATTTCACCTCTATCAAGCTCAAGGTGAGGAAAGCAAAGATTGCAGATCATGTCCTTGTGGGGCATGCAAGTGCGCTGGAAAAGTYACCCGCAGTTTATCGGGTTCCAAGAACCATGTGCAAAGCGTTCACAATACCTGGAACAACACCATCCCTTGTTAAAGATAATGTGTATAACAGTCAGGTTCCAACTCGTCTTACTATATTCATGACCAAGGCATCGGCAATCAATGGAAGCTACACGACGAACCCTTTCAACATGGACCTTTTCTCTATTTCTTCCATCGGTGTTTATATCGACGGGGAACAATCACCAGGAAAGCCTCTCAAGTTGAAACTTACTGGTAGCGGCAAAAAGTACTTGGAAGGCTATCAGACTCTGTTCACAGGTACGGGGAAGTATCACGACGATGCAGGCAATCAAATCACACGCCATGATTATCAAAACGGATACGGGTTCTTTGTGTTTGATTTAAAACCGGATGGATGTGACACATCGGGTCATTTTGGTCTAAAACAGAAAGGAAACCTCTYGATCGAGATTGTCTTCACTACAGCATTGACGGAGGCTATAAACCTGTTTTGCCTTGGTGAATTTGACAACGTTCTGGAGATTGATAAACACAGAAACGTGCTGTACGATTACACGTCATGAACACATTGCAGTTGATACAAGCAGTAGAGCAAGACCCCAAGAGCCGGGGTAAATTCTGTGGTGTTTATTCTTCTGACACCTTACCTAGAGAAATTCATCAGTATCCGTGCGGGMTAATTGTCAATTCTGATGGTCACAGAGACGTTGGCTCCCATTGGCTGGCCATGTTTTTTCCATCAGAGCAAGAGGGAGAGTTTTTCGATTCCTACGGATACCCGCCAGATTTTTATCGAAAAAAWTTCAAAACGTTCTTGGACACTCACACCCGAACTTGGACCTACAACCACCGGTGCTTACAAAGCTTGAATTCAAGCACATGTGGACAATTTTGTGTGTATTTTATCATTAATAGAAACCATGGTAAGTCCATGGAGACCATTGTAAGTTCGTTCAGTAAAACACTGACCTTAAACGATCATCGTGTAACTCAATTTGTTCGCAGATATCTTAGATATAATCAAATCAAAAATGGYGGAAAGAGAGGACACCAGGGTGCCTTGACTCGTTTACAAAACAAGTAGACTTTGTAGTGTTTTCAAATGATTTTTATTGAATAAAAAAGAAAAGTGAAATGTGKTACAGCTGATGTTTTTGTTTTTGATTAGAAAGTAATCCAGTTACTCGATAAGCGTTTAGCTTTGCGCCGAGATCGTCTTGAACTTTTTGGTGTATCAGGTGGAGTGGGAGGGTAAAGTTCGCTTTCACTTGTACGGTGTGAAATAGGAGAATCTTTTTGCTGGAGCTGAGAAAGGTGACTTCGGCGTTTTTCGTTGCGCATGAGGTATTGTGGCATGTTGATTTTTTCCAGCGACTCTGTAAACTGTTCCCATCCTTTGGGATTAAAATTTTTGCGCGATCTCAGCTGATCGTTAACCAAGTCAATGATGTTGGAACCCTGAATGGGGTGCCCATTGATTGCGATTTCACCTCTTTCATTCCAAGAAACAAGGWCGCGATTAGCTTTGAGACGATCCAACATGGACCTGGCCAACGAACGCGAGGTCTTCGGTACAGAGTGAACGATTTCTTCCTCTGGTAAAGAGGATCGGGTGTCAGCGGTTTCGGTGGTATCATCGACAACAGTGGAGTGTGGTGGTGGGAAGCTATCTTGATGAATCTTGACCGTAGGAATAAATTGCCGKCTTCCTTCTTGCACATCTAGAAATCTCTGTAAATTTTGATTGTATTCTGTCACTTTATCGTCGAGATATTTTGTTTTGTCCGAAAGAGCATCGTCCATTTTCTTTTCTATTCGAATCATGGCTTTTGTGGCGGGYGCGGTCTGCATATTTTCTTTGCRTTCCAAGGACTCCAAAAACTCTTCGGGGACCAAAACCATTCGCTTAACATACTTCATCTTTTATTYCGTGAAAAAAGGCTTTGCAGAACCGATATCACAGGAGGCAATAAAGCCAAGAGCAGGGAGCCGCCACTCTGCACCACTTGATCTTTTTTACGTTTCAAGGGAACTTGAYGGTCTGCGAGGGTTCTGAGCTGTCTCTTGAACCTTCGTAGCTGGCTCTTCTGAGAAGGTGTCAGGTGTACAATACCTTTTAAAACATTGACAGCAACTTCTGACAGTGTYAAGATCAAGTCTTTATCGCAATGCTSAAGTAAGGCCTTTCGCTGTTTTTTGTTGCATTTTGATAAAACGGTCARAAAATCGATATTTCGTCTTACACGATCAGACATTTTTGTAAAAATGAACCGATCGAGACCTCGGAGTCTTCTTTTATCAACGTT